TAACTTAATTCCGCCCCTTTTTTAGTACTCGCGTATGATGTGTACTTTTTAAAACATATTCCTAATAAGGGTTTTGATCCAGACTTTGCTGTTTATTAAACCTTGAAATGTGATATTGCGAGCGTGTCATGGTTACGAAAATAAGAGTATGTTTGAAATCAGGACAGATTTGCGTTAGAACAGGCACTTTGGCTATACACGAGAAGTCAGATCTAAAATTCATTTTGCGAACAGACGTGGCTGAGTATTTACACATCTCAGAGACAGCTGTAAAAAAATCCCAATTGCACGCATAACTGTTGAAATAAATTTGAAGCGACTGTTTCAACACTATAATTGAAATAAAGATTTCTGATTTCGTTATGCTCATATGATATAAATGTGAATAAGTGTATTTCTTTGTGGTCACTCGGAGTCGCAACTGTTCATAATTCAAGGCACATAGTTCTCGAATTTTTAGGCAATCTGATTTTGATCTTATTTGTCGACAAAGCTGTCGTCAACAACGTATGATTTGTCTGTGATGTGTGCAGTCCGTTCGTGTATAAGAATAGTATCGAGCTTAAAACAATATCATAAGAATGACCTGCTGTTATTTGTATTTTTTCATTGTGCCGTTTGTTCTGATATATCAAAGAATGTAAATAAAATTCTGAGATGTGGAATAAATGCATGATTTTTCTTTATTAGTTGTTATTTGCTTTGAACTAGCTGCCAGTAACTGCGAGTACTCTCAGATCTGTACTTAGTGTCTTTTTGTTGTGGGGATGTACAAGTACCCTGTCACGTCCACTCTTTGTGCTTTGTATCGATCTGATGAGTGAAGCCCTTTTCAACTGATTTTTATGGTTTGTTTATATGTTGTACTGTTACACCACTGTCCCAGGTTAGGGGAGGGTTGGGCGCCCGCTAACATGTTTAACCCCGTCACATTCTGTATGTGCCCCTGTAATTCAGTGGTTGTCGTTTGTTGCTGTATATCCTATTTATTTTTTGTTCATTATTTTGTACATAAATCAGGCCGTTAATTTTCTCGTTTGGATTGTTTATTTGTCATTTCAGGGCCTTTTATAGCTGACTACATGCGGTATGGGTTTTACTCATTGTTGAAGGCCGTACGGTGACCTATAGTTGTTAATTTCTGTGTCATTTGGTCTCTCGTGGCGAGTTGTCTCATTGGCAATCATACCATATCTTCTTATTTTTATATGCTTTTCAATGAGACAACTAAAAAGTCAAAAAATAATGTGGATTTAAGCAATTATAGGTCACCACACGGCCTTCAACAATGAGCACAACCAATACCGTATAGTCAGCCATAAAATGCATGACAAGATGTGAAACAATTCAAACGAATAAAATAACGGCCTGATTTATGACAAAATAATAACAACAAAAAAATCAATATAACAGACAACCACAAAATTACAGGCTCCTGATTTAGGACAGGCACATAAAGAATGTGACAGGGTTAACCATGCTTGTGAGTGCCTTGAAAACCTAAAGATCATATAAGAGTCTCTTGTGAAGAACTTTGATCAAAAGTCTGCAAAATCCTTAAGAGTGCTTGTATGTTTTGTCGTTGTTTGATGCCAGCTGGTGTAAGGTACAAGCAATCTGTGATCCATTTGTTATGTTTGCTCTGAATCCAATTGTTGTTCCATAAAGTAAGATCAATGATTTACTGCCGGGTCTATCTGCTTTGAAGCCATATTGTTGGTCATAAAATAAGATCCATACTACTAGATTCACTTGATTCTTTTGCTTTGAATCCATGTGGTTGGTCATTTTAAGTAAGATATGCGATTCCCTGGATCATTTCGATTTGAATCCTTTTATTGGCCATACAGTAAGATATATATTATTCACTAGATTGTTTTGCTTTGCATCCATGTTGTTAGTCATTTCAAGTAAGATCTGTATATTTCAATGGATCAATTGCTCTGAATCCATGTCATTGGTCATAAAGTAAGATCTGTGATTCCCTGAATCCTTTTGCTCTAAATTCATTTTGTTGGCCATAAAGTAAGATACTTTTAGTAGTAGATTCACAGGATCATTTTGCTCTGGATCCATATTGTTGGTCATAAAGTAGGATCGTAGATTCAATGGATCCTTTTGCTTTGAATCCATGTTGTTGGTCATTTTAAGTAAGATCTGTATTTCAATGGATCAATTGCTATGAATCCTTTTGTTGGTCATAAAGTAAAATCTGCGATTCCCTGAATCCATATTGTTGGTCATAAAGTAAAATCGTAGATTCCCTGGATCCTTTTGCTTTGAATCCATGTTGTTGATCATTAAGTAAGATCTGAGATTCACTGGATCCTTTGGCCTTGAATCAATGTTGTTGGTCATAAAATAATATCTGCGATTCACTGGATCTATCTGTTTTGAATCCATGTTGTTGGTCATAAAGTAAGTTACTTGAGTTTTTGTTTGTTTGTACAATACATTCCCAGTTTGAATCCATGGTAGTTGTATGTATCTATCAACTTAGTTGGTATGCACTTTTGAATAGGTGTATATTCCTTGGTGGTATATACCGTTAGTAATCGCCAATGTATATGGTTTGGATTTTTATGCCCCACCTACGATAGTAGAGGGGCATTATGTTTTCTGGTCTGTGCTCCGTTCGTCCGTCTGTCCCGCTTCAGGTTGAAGTTTTTGGTCAAGGTAGTGTTTGATGAAGTTGAAGTTCAATCAACTTGAAACTTAGTACACATGTTCCCTATGATATGATCTTTCTAATTTAAATGCCAAATTAGATTTTTGACTACAATTTCACGGTCCACTGAACATAGAAAATGATAGTGCGAGTTTCAGGTTAAAGTTTTTGGTCAAGGTAGTTTTTGATGAAGTTGAAGTTCAATCAACTTGAAACTTAGTACACATGTTCCCTATGATATGATCTTTCTAATTTAAATGCCAAATAATTTTTTTGACCCAAATTTTACGGTCTACTGAAAATAGAAAATGATAGTGCGAGTGGGGCATCTGTGTACTATGGACACATTCTTGTTCTATATACATGGAGGCTATTTTAGAAAAGACTAATTCACAATATGTGTCCAGTTCAGGTAATGACATAGTGCATTGGTTATTGCAAGTACTAGCATAGCTCCATAGCCATCTTTCTTGTTTTTAGTGTAGATGGTATATTTTAATGGTAAAATATACCGTATTCATATGTTGACATGTCATTTGAGTGCTGGTTTCAGTAACAAAGATTATACCAGGTTTACACAAGCAATTATTTGATAAGTTCCGGCTTTTTGTAATTGATTGGAAGTTGATTGTGAGTACACAAAGGGGTGGTGTATTTGTTTTTACTTATCTTTATTGGACTGGGATGGTGATGGAGGTGGTGAGTAGTGTGTTGCTGTTCCAATTTAAGAATAAAATTGCAATTTGGTCAGAATTTTGCATAAACTGCAATAGATGGAGAGCAACACTTACAGTCAAGTCTCATTAATAGTTGAATACTTGCGTAACCCATCTCTAGCAAAGGGGTTAAATTGAAGGTCACATGAATATGGATTCAATAAGGTCAAATTATTCACTTGCAAATGAATAATTCATCAGCCACGTTTCTTAGCTTATTTTGACAAAATTAAACCAAACTGGCTTCTAAAAGCGAATTATCATTTCATTATTTCACTTTTATTAATGATTGAACCAAACTAAATCATATGGAAATGGGGAATATGTCAAAGAGACAACAACCTGACCAGCCCAAGGCCACCAATAGGTCTTAAACGCATTGAGAAAATCCTGCATGTGGAGGCGGGCTTAAGCTGGACCCTAAATAATAATGTTTACTAGTTCAGGGGAATGGACGCCACACTAACAGACTACTTTGCCTAATAAGCTCAGCAAGTAGGATAGTAAAATAGATTTGAATAGAAGTTACTTTTCCTTTACTGACTCAAAGGCACTGGGTGAATCACACTTGCTTTCTTTTGAAGCACTTGCTTTTGCAGGTTTGTTTTTATCTTCATCAGGATGGCGGAGAAATAAAACTTTGGAAGGAAAAATGCATAACAAGCAATATCCATGTAATCATACAAAACAAGAATGTGTCCATAGTACACCGATGCCCCACTCGCACTATCATTTTCTATGTTCAGTGGACCGTGAAATTGGGGTCAAAACTCTAATTTGGCTTTAAAATTAGAAAGATCATATCATAGGGAACATGTGTACTAAGTTTCAAGTTGATTGGACTTCAACTTCATCAAAAACTACCTTGACCAAAAACTTTAACCTGAAAAACTTTAGCCTGAAAAACTTTAACCTGAAGCAGGACAGACGGACAGACGGATGGACGGACAGACGAACGAACGAACGCACAGACAGAAAAACATAATGCCCATAAATGGGGCATAATAAATGGGGCATAAAAATTCTCTAGTCAACTTTGCATCATTAGTTGTATTTAGGTTTTGCCTAAATTATGAAATCAACGAAGATTTTCCAAAATGCATACATTCTCTTTCTAACTGAGTAGTTTGATAATGAAAATTATCATACAATAAGATCAAAGGTAAATTCGAGAAAATAGTGATAAAGAATGATATTGCTTTAATATGCATTAACCTTTTGATGCATATTTAATGTGTTACTTGTCCTTTGGTTATGGTTCTCTTTCTCTCTGTCCTCCTTAAACTGTGTTCTTTTTAAGAATGGTCCAGAAGTTTTTATTTAACTGTAGTTGCAACCAATTTGGTGGGCAAATAAACCAGTTAAGTAGGATATCATTTTAAAACAAACTAAGGATAATTTCTGCCAATGTTGGTACGAATTTGCTCAGTAGTTTCTGGGAATATAGTTCTCATTAGAAAGTTTTAAGTTTTATACCAATTGACACAAAGTTATAGGAACTGCTGAAACTATCAGTTCTAAGACCTAATAAATTAAAAGTTAGATGGGAAATCATGTTTAACACCACTTACAACTGGAAATCTTTGTTTTTCAGTAATATCACAAGGAAAAACAAATGGCTTTTGAAATTATTTTATAATTACCAGAATTATAGTATAAAGAATATTTGACACAATAAATTTATCAACAAGAATTATGTGTATATGAAAAAAATCTAAAGTAAATTTGTCATGACAAAATCTAAAAATAAAAAGTTAAATATGAATATGTTGTCAGTAAAAACAACACATGTATTTGGTAAAAATAGATATCATTATACACTATACAAAATAATAAAAAAACAAAAATCAAAAACAAAAGCAGTGTGACTACAAACATTGGCACGTTTTTAAAAAATACTTGTTAAATTCTATAGAAAATTGTATACCTCAAATTCAGAACTTGATGCAATGATTTGTTAATCTTAATTAGTTCAGACTTAGTTGTATAGAATTCAAACTTTTATTTTATTCATGTACAGTTCAACAGAAGATCTCTCTATTGGTGTTGCAGGTATAGAATCACTAATTTCGGGACCAGTCAGAGAGAACATACAAGAAAGTAGTATGCATTTTAAACAAAATAGTTCCTACGCATAGCTGTAACTTTGTCAACAAGTAATATATTTGGGTAATTTTGGTATCATATGAAAGCTTAGGGACTTGGGATATCTGTAGAACCCTTGTTGAAACTTTCTTTTGAATAATAAAAAAATATATGAAATTTTAATGGGAGGGCACATTTGCCCTGTTGTCCAGATCAGAAGGACCTGTTTTTGTATTATCAAACTTTCAGGAACCAGTGCGCTCTAATATGCAATTAAAGGTATGTTAAATTTCTCAACACAAGTCCAGATAAAGTAGTTTTGACATGAAATGACTGCCATTTTATTTGAACTTCAGATAAAGTAGCTATGAATTAGTGATTTTATACCTGCATTGATAAATATTGCATGCCTGTTCGTGAGATATTCCAGTTTTTCTTGTCCCTAAAACTGAACTACATTAACTATCAAAATTACGTGGGGGGATATATTTGCAATGTTATCTTAATCACAAAATAAGCTGAAAAATAACCCCTCGTTAAAAATCCACCTTTTTATAGTTTACTATAAAGTTATCATGCCCAGCTTAAAACAAACCAACTTTTATGATACACATGATGATTTTCACATATCATCAAAATCATAAGAATACAGCTAACATTTCAATGAAGGTACATGCTAAAAGTTGTCTACTTCGGTTGCTGACAAAATACATTATTCTACATTGTGTTTGAGTTAATTTGATTATTTTTTGGGGATACTAAATAAATGATAAAGCTGTATTTCATAAAATTAATACTAAATGAATATTCAAACAATTAAAAATAAAGGTTAGACTTGAGATATTGAAAAACAAACAAATAAATAAATGAAAAATAATCTGACATGATACAAACCAGCTAAAAAAGAAATTACATTACTGTAAGGAGTTGTCTCCCATTATCATTTATAATTAAAACTAAAAAATACATATTTTCTGCAATTTTAACTGCAAACATTTTCTATAATTGTCACTTAAAATCTTTGACAATATATGATTTCTGTGGTCTTTTGATTGACAGTTCGATGTAGTTATTTTACATAAGGCACACAACAGTAAGAGCTAGATCAGATAAAAATCATCTTAATTAAAAATAATTTATAATTTCTTGAATTATCCTGTCACTTTCATTATACAGATAATGCAAGCATAATCATTTTTGTGAATTTCTATCATTTTGTAAATTTTTTCTTTAATAATATTGTAAAAACAATTACAGTAATGTAAAAATTGTAAAATTAAGACAATTCTACAATTACAAATATATTTTAACATAAAAGTGCCTCAAATGCATAAAAGTTCTCAGAATTTCTGGTTTCTGGCTATAGCAATACCTGTTGTATTTCCTATAGGACCCTGATTATGAAATGGATTATCTCCCATACATGTGAATGATATGACAGAAGTAAATGAAAAAATGCACTAAATTATATCAATAAAGGGACATAGTCACTAGAACATAATCCAATAAGGAAGTCAATAATAAATTTAATTGTTCAAGCTTTCATTTTAAACAATCTTCATTTTCAGATTAATTTTAGATCCATATTTCAGAAAAGATTCCAATCACATTAAAAAGGAATTTCTGGAATAAAAAAAATTGTCTATTTTAAATCCTATTTATCCTCTTGAAAATTCAACTTGAAATCCCTCAATATTTTTATGTAGTTACCATTGAGAATTCATAGAAAAAAATGTACATCTCAAGTTCAAACTAAAAGGAGTCTATAATATTGATTTCTCTAGAAATCTTAGATTCAATGATATCTAGTAGGATGCCTTTAACAAAACAATGCTATCCTCTACATATGAGGCACAGATTTAGTCAACATTATTATATTAAAGGAATTCCAAAATTTTTTCAGGATATTGAATACAATAATTTTGACTAAATTCGGGTCTCATATAATATACAAACTACCTGTGAACTGTATCAATAATTTAGTAACTTAACTATCTCAGTCCTGGTAATATGCAAACTTAAAAAAATCTTTTAAATTCTAATTAATCAAAAATATGAAAATGCTTCAAAATCACCTGTTAAAAAAATGCATACCATACACTGGTATGATATAAACCATGAGACTTCCCTTTAACTCACCACAGTTTATATCTATACAGTACCTATTTATAATTATAATCAGAACAGCACTAAAAACACTGTCATAGCATATCAAGACACATCATCCTTAAATTTAACAGTTTTTTCAATAGAATTTTCTGTTATTTTCTGTAAATCAGATCCTTCTTTTTTCAGGCGACTAGTGGTTTCTACCTCGGTCCCAGTTCTATTTGTTGGCCATGGAGATTCTCCTTCAAACTGTTCAGCAGTTGGTATATTTATAGCCACAGTGGCAGGTGATAGAGGTGCTGACCTTTTTGGATCTGCTACTTTGGTTTCCTGTTTCTCTTCCACAGGTGGTTCTGGAGAAGGAGCAGGTGCTGGGGTGGTTTGTTTTACCTCTCGTTCTTTTTCAACAACCTGCACTTTGTTCTGTTTAGTTACCTGTCTTATTGCTTCATTAGTCTTTGCTTGAGATATATATTCGTCTTGTTTTGGTATGCTTGGGTGCGGCGGATTAGGAATGGGCATTTTGATTTGAGAAGAAATCTGAATATATTCAGTTTCAGATTTAGGGCCAAAACTTGAGTATAATGCTGGACTTCCAATACGCCCTGATCTTCCAGAAGAACTACGATAACCAAGTTTTGAACCAGACCGTTCACTGTTCCTATATGACTTATCACTTCCTCTTACAGAACTTGCAGACTTCAGTGAAATATCTGTGTTAGATCGTACAAGAGATCCTGTCGGTGGACCAACTATCAAATCAGATGTATTTGATCGCCCTATGCTATAATTCAAGGTCACAACTTTTGCCTTGGAATGTTTAGAACTTATATCACTTCTGTCACTAGCATGTGAATCCACAATACTAATTTTGCTAGGACTGCGCACATTTTCTTTTGAATCATCCATCCTTGGAGACATTCCATTTTGTTCAAAATAAATACTACTTCCATCCAGGCTATCCTCTGACTTATGATGTGTCCGTCGATTATCAAGCGTATGTCGCAAAACATCATCCACTGATAAATTATGAAGCATGGATTCATCATCCAATGATTTCTGGTCTATAGTAATGTCTACCATTTTATTATTTTGTTCATGACCAGTAACATATGTACGAGATTTTGGACGATGTTTTACTTTATAACTCCCTGGTCTTTCTATAATTGTCATACTTATTTTTTCTTTCATTCTATCTTCCTCATTTTCTTTAGTAAACAAAACAGGATGTGTCTCACATAAATTCTGAAAGAAAAAATTTACTTTCTTAATAATGGATAATACAAAGAATAAAATGGCTTGTGAAGGGCATTGGAATCACAACAACACCTCCTGTCAAGCCACATTAAAGACAGATCATTAACTTTTCAATCTAGGGTCAATTTAATGATAAGGGTAGCAAATAATGGACTTTTGATATCTGACTGAAAGGCATCTGCACCAAGATGAACTTACATCTGATGTAGAATAGTTATATGATAAATACTTACTGGTTTTGCTCTTTCCTCTGGCTCCCCTCTAGGGGAGATAACTTTAGTCACAGGACTGCTGACTGCATCATCCCAACACAATGGAATGATCATGACACCGTTACTTTTCTTTTCTGGTTCTTCTTCCTTTATATAGCTACAAAAGCAATGTACAAGTGTGATGAAAAGTCTAACAACCCTTTATATAGCTACAAAAGCAATGTACAAGTGTGATGAAAAGTCTAACATCCCTTTATATAGCTACAAAAGCAATGTACAAGTGTGATGAAAAGTCTAACATCCCTTTATATAGCTACAAAAGCAATGTACAAGTGTGATGAAAAGTCTAACAACCCTTTATATAGCTACAAAAGCAATGTACAAGTGTGATGAAAGTCTAACAACCCTTTATATAGCTACAAAAGCAATGTACAAGTGTGATGTAATGTCTAACAACCCTTTATATAGCTACAAAAGCAATGTACAAGTGTGATGTAATGTCTAACAACCCTTTATATAGCTACAAAAGCAATGTACAAGTGTGATGAAATGTCTAACAACCCTTTATATAGCTACAAAAGCAATGTACAAGTGTGATGAAAAGTCTAACAACCCTTTATATAGCTACAAAAGCAATGTACAAGTGTGATGAAAAGTCTAACATCCCTTTATATAGCTACAAAAGCAATGTACAAGTGTGATGAAAAGTCTAACATCCCTTTATATAGCTACAAAAGCAATGTACAAGTGTGATGAAAAGTCTAACATCCCTTTATATAGCTACAAAAGCAATGTACAAGTGTGATGTAATGTCTAACAACCCTTTATATAGCTACAAAAGCAATGTACAAGTGTGATGAAATGTCTAACAACCCTTTATATAGCTACAAAAGCAATGTACAAGTGTGATGAAATGTCTAACAACCCTTTATATAGCTATAAAAGCAATGTACAAGTGTGATGAAATGTCTAACATCATATATCTTATGATAATTTAGGTTTGTTTTGAACATAAAAAACATAGGTCACTATAATTTTTTCATTTCAATTTACAAAAAATATGTGCCCTGCATTATATTTTATTAATTAAACTCCCTCATATAAAGATTTGTAAATATGAAGATGTTTAGAATGGATTGTTTTTTTCTGTGTAGATGCTTATTTTATTCCTGTCCTTCTTCGTTCCTAGATGGTATAATGACTATGTCTTCTTGAATCTCCAAAGTGGTTGCACTTAAAATTACTTCCACAAATAAACACAATATTTTTTCATCTTCTATATTGAAGAATATTTCTTCATATGATTTAACTTGTATACCTTATATTTATATATTATGGAAAATAACTGAACTCTTTTAAAAAACCTTCTGTTCAGTATATATTACCTAGATTCCCTTGTCCATTTTTTGACCTTGAGATCTTGAGACTGGACACTTCCATTGATGCCAATCCTAACTTTATCCCCTTTCTGTAACTGGTGAGCTACCCTACTACCAACACTACTTTCTATGTTGTAATACTCTGCTTCCTCGCTCACTGTAATAGGCAGTAGTATCAAGTTAACACAAAGGTCAATAAATAGTTCATGTATGATTGATTGATCAGTGTTTGCTTTAGCAGTCTTAGTACAGAAAGGTTACATTGAAGCTAGGTTCATATATGAGAAAGTACATCACTTTGTTCTGATATTTAGTACATGTGATGCCTTGTAAGTAAAGTATGAATCAATGTTGGTCCATTGTAAATGTTAGCATTTTATATGTATTGTGAAATATTAATAAAATAACATTATACAACTTTCATATTAGAACATGTTTCAGATATCTATATTTCAAGGTTTTATAACTATGAGTTTGGTATATTTCATCAAAATAAAGTTTTTGAGATATATAATGAAATTCATACTGCCATTGCTAATACCTGAAACTCAAATATTACATGAAGTTATTTTGTTTTTAAAATTGGTTAGAACATGCCTTATGCTGTTAAGATGTCATGCATGTGAAATGTTAGGTGTGCATAGGACATAATGAAAGAAAATTAGATCATATCACCATACTGGAGTATCTGTTAACAGCCGTTTAACAATTGATTAATTGATATACAGGCTATAAATTTCAGTTTATCAGATTATCTCCCCATATTTTGAACTAAACATTTATTACCAACATAAAAGATGAAATTATTGCTTTATATTTCTATGTTTGTGTATTTGTTGTATTATTATTCCATTATGTTTTTAAATCACTACATGTATTTGTTTCGAGAGAAGACAACCACTTCAAGATTATTTGAGATAATGCATTCATATAAGATTACTACTCTGGTTTCCTTATCCCTTTTTTTTTTGATTACTTGTATACTTGATGAATTCATTAATAAAATATGTTTACACTAATGAATATTGTCTTACAATTTAAAACTTGAAAACATAATTTTACGTTTTCTTTTACTGTAAAAAGAAAAAAAGTTTACCGATTCCTATCCATCTGCTTCTTTCCTTGTTATGCTATAATTGAAATGATGCTTATTTCCGAGCTTTTAACCAAGGAGAACATACAAAGATTGCTCTGTTTATCCCTTTGCAAATCTACTACAACTAACAAGCAAATGCTGCAAATCTACTACAACTTACAAGCAAATGCATCCACAATGCCAGTGGATCCGTCTGCAGGTGTTCCCCCAAACATCAGCCAGCTATCAAAGCTAGTGGGCCCCTCCTTGGATTGTCCCCTTACAAACACACCCTGGTTTAAGGTGTGATGTTCTGGTTCCCAGTGCTCATGAATTTTCTGTGTTAATTCTTTTGTTTGTCTACTTGACACCAAAAGAGGATCATTTTTCTTTTTTCTATCTTCAGATTTTTGTACTGCTCCTATAAATTTAATATAACACTGCTCTGTATATAAATTTCTTTGTGTCTGCATATTTTTGTTCTCATTAAGCTCTAATGTAGCTATAATAACTGAAGTGAAACTTAAGGTAGTATGGGAACGAAAAGATGGAGAAGGTTATTTTGGATCTCAATTGATTTAAAGAATTTTTTTAATCAAAATTAGAAAACTGATATTGAACTACAGTTTATTTGCTGATACGATTTTTTTATTCATTCAAGACTTCCAAAAAAAGAGTGGACAACTCAGACAATTCTTCTTTCTATAAGATTGTACTATAACTTTACCTATTTGTTAAGAAGCAAGATAATAACACTTCTATGATTTTATTTTATTTTCTGACAGCATTTTAAAAGCTAATTTCTCATCTTTTATCTCAAAATTCTAATACTTTTAATAGAATATTGGAATTTAATAGTATAATGCAAAGTACCTATCTGTACAGTATAACAAATTCTATAATTTTTATATATAGTCCCATACTACCTTAAATTTATATATATATATTTAAGTAAATGCTGCTTTCAAAACTTACTAAATTTGTTTTAGCCACTTTGATCATGGATAAATTTTTTAAGATGACCATTAATCATGCATTTTTTTCAGAATGTATAAACTATTAGATTTAGTTTACACCATTGAAAAATTCTGTTAAAACTTTTCTGTTAATTGGAAAGATTAAAACCAAAACCTGTGCAATAACTGGAGTTAACTTGCTATAACATTCTTTTTCTCAGAAATTTTGACTAAAAGCATGATGCAAGTTTTAAAGTTTTACAATAATTTATACACATGTACAAACTATACTTCTAACTATTTCAAGCCTGTTTCTACTATCAGCCATAAGTAAGACAATTATATATTGTGAAAGTCCTTGCTAATAAGTTATTGATTCATATGATCTTTAAAAACCTTGTGGTTTGAAACTTCTAATAATATAAACTAAAGAAAACTTTCTAATATCACACTCTTTAAGTTTAATATTTCGAATATACCACAAAATTTCACAAACATTGGAACTTCCACAAATAGTTATACCTTCAAAATGATTGGAGATAACTTAGCTGCAAAATGGAACAAAATTTATCTAAAACCATCTATCAATCCGAAAAATGTTATACCAAAGTTTAACTGCATTAGTTAAAAGACATCAAGTTTATCTTTTCTATTATAGTACCTGCTGTTTTGGGACGTAAATTGGACCTCGGTCTGTTAGTTCTTGGAGTTGATGGCTGTGATTTGGAAGTCAGCGGTCTTCCTTGAATCTCAACTAAAAAAAGTATAAACTTTATTTTCAACAAGGAACAAATTTTTTTTATAACAAAGTGGAAGTAACAAATTATAACACATAAAAAAGAAGGATATACAGACATACTTCAATAAAGACATTGTTTATTGGTGGCTTTTTTTATTGCAAAGGGATAATAAGCTTTAATTTCCAAAGCAAAATAATGATTAGAGTAATTTCCTATAAGATAAAAACAAAAACAATCATATTGACTTCTTTATGGTATCAATATTGTGTGATATTGACGGATCTAATCCTGATTTTATAGAAATTCAATAAATATTATCATCAAATGTCAACATTATGGTATAAAGTTATCAGATAAAGCGGCAGTGACTTAACACTTTTGTTTTATCAGGACTCCATAATGTTTATTGCTGTAAATTGGTGGATTGTTTTTGGTGAAAATTACCAAACTATTTTGTGACAGCTAAATCATTTGTAATTCCATTATATGATAGTATAATCAACATACTATTTTTATAACTACTATCAAAAATCATTATTTTGTCAGCAAAAAACAATTTCAAATTTGTTCCCACATCAAGAAAAATATATCAAGATTGCATGACTGATTCCAATGCTGCTAAATAAGAATAATCCATTTTAAAAACATTATTAAACTCTTCATATTAAGAACAAATTAAGAGATTACACAGTGTTACAAGTTAATCTGTACTGAGTGTTTACACAGACAGACAATTTTGATCATATCTTTAAAAAATTTGTAAATGGTTCCACAATACCCTGGGTCTTGCTTGCTATCATTGCTGTCATGTTATGTTGAATGCTAAAAACTAATTCCATTTATCAGTAAAATACAGAAAATTTAAAAAAGTAAAATTTCTTGATGATGAAGAAGCTTCTGTCTAAGTTTTGTGACATTCTAGGAAGGTTTGACAAAATGATTGTTGTCTAATATGTAAAACATTGTTTAAGGAATGATTTGTACATTTAATGCAAAATCACATAAGTTTCAGTTCTGAATTTTTTTTCTTTTCCAATATTGCATCAATTTTACAATAAGAGTTCTTTATGTAACATACTGTTTAAACGTTTAAATTTCCTGAGATGATCTTGATCACCATAATACTGTCTGTTTGGAGACTGTGGACGTCTTCCCTTGGATGGAGCTGACTGTATGTTTCTGAAATAAATTACATCTACTATTAAAGTATGTAAATGTGTGTTTTTTGTACTGCATGGGAGCAAGACCTTTCCAGATTTTTATACACCTGTCTTAAGGAAGAGCTGGTGTCGACTGCCATCCCAGATTGTAAAATAACAGAAAACAATTGGTCTATATCTTTAATGAAATATGCAAATTTTCATTTTTTAAGAATTTTCATCTAAACGAAGAAAATTGTGTGTTTTATTTGATTTTTTTTTACTGTGTTAACAAATACCAATGTTTTTGTTCAATGCATTTGTTTTCCATCTTAGTCATATATGGGGAGATAACTAGATAATCTAATTTTATAAAGGAATGCACAGTTAATGTACCTATTTTATTTTGCAGCAAGAAAACTAGTTCCTTGAAGCCAATTTTTCTTTTTATTTTCTGAAAGCATGTATAGGAGCTATCTTCTCATATATCATTTCAAAATTATATCCTTTAGTTTTCTTTCTATTCACACAAAAATTGGTTTTCCGTGTACAATCTTTACAAAATTGGACAATTTTGCACAACATGTTGCTTGAAAAAAAAGCTCTGTGAGACTGTGACCAATACTTATTATTTTATTTTAGAAAAAAAACATGATATAAACTTCATTTTGACAACAGTACAAAAACTGTTAGTCCCCACGTCTACCACATCTACCATAGCCTATAAAATACATACCTTGGTTTATTATAAATGGAATGAATAAGTTGATGCTGTTCTTTTATGATGTCTGTGGATGATTTAGGCCTATATGTCCTGGTCCCAGTCACATCAATATTGACAGTTCGACAGGATAATACTGGTTGTGGAGGGTAATAACGATGTTTTATTTCTATCTCACCTAGGGGGCGCTTCTACAAAATGAAACACAAAAAGTGTCAAATATCTGAACAATGCAACCCACATCAAAATTCTAGGATATCTCCATGTATAAACTCAATGTATTGTCTGAAGGGTTTTAAAAACAGGGAAGATACCAAAGAGCAATAGGGTGGGGGGTCTCAACATGGGATTTTGGGTACAGTTGTGCAGCTGGGATTTAAAAAACACCCCCCATTCACATATTGAATAATTGTGAAATCCCTACCTATACATATATTTCACAGCGAAATCATAACCCATTCATATATTTATCAATACCAAAACTTGTGTCAATAAGTTTCAGCAGATGTGGAAATTTTAATGACAAAGAGTTTGAGAAAATCAGTGAAGATCGTTGCACAACAAACTGAAAAATTATGACCCATTTATATACACAATTACTACCTATTGATATATTTCCTCGGTAAAATTGCACCCCATTGATATATTTGATGTATCAAAAAAGGGACCCATTCCAGCGGCACATATGTATAGACCTTCATATAGGAAGAGACCCCCCCCCCCCCCCCCCCCTTGGCTACAGGGAAAACTGAAGATCAGACAAAGCTGTACACTTTACCATTATCTACTCAGAAACTGAAAGAGCACAGTCTAATCAAAGGGGTACTTAAGTGTGGTTATGTCAACGTATATTTGTTCTGCCTAACAGAAGTTCCACTGGAAACTTTGTTATAAACAACTCCCTTCTTAGAGAGAAAATGTAAGATTAGAGAAAGCTTTAAACTGTAGCATCTATAGGCTAATCAAAAGGTCTTTAACTTATGAGTGAATACTGGGAAAGATCCTGACTCTTAATAGGCATATAAAAATGTGACAAGTTAAACTAGTTAAATTTGTGATCTCAACCCTCTATAGCTCACTTTAGGAAATTCTACTTTTTCCTATGCGGCTATGATATACAATCAAACTATATAAAACCAGAGTGCACATGCTAAAATGTCTCAACCGCCTCACTGATCATAATGGATTTATGTTAAAAGTCTTTAAATTAAGATAAAGTTTTTACAACAAATATCACATAAACTTAACATTATTAATGAACCATGTAAATGAGGTCAAGGTCAGATGAACCCTGCTAGACAGACATGTACAATCATTCCATAGGCTTAATATAGTTGGCCTACTGCTACTGCATATAGTACCCAAGAAATAGACCAAACCATGAAAACTAAACATTGACCAATGAACTATAAAATTAAGGTCAAGGTCAGATGAAACCTGCCAGACTGACATGAATGCCTTACGATCATTCCATACACCATATATAGTTTAACTTCTGCTTATAGTATATGAAAAACTGACCTATTCACATAACTTTTACCATGATTACTGATCCATGAAAGGAAGTTGCAGGACATAGACCTTGTAGGTTGCGCTTTGTAAATACAGCTCAGGCCCGTACGAAATATTTAGCAGGATTCCTACCAGACTATAGCAGGAATTCACACGGAATTAGCAGGAAATTTTAAATTCCTATTACTTTTTAGACGTACTAGGAAAAACTTCAGTTTTTCTGACAGGATTTTTCACTTTCCTACAACAACATTCCTGGTTTGGGTAACAGGAATATTTTTTCCTGCCAGAAAATCTTTCTACCAGGAATGTTTTCTTATCTAAGCAGGATTATTATCTTGACTGCTATTGGTTTGTATTCAATTATCTTTAACTGGATTCCGGTTTGCTTATAACATTTATTTTGCTGTGTAATAAGAGACCAGGTTCCAGTTAACAAATTCAAAAGTTGGAGGGTAAAAGATTCAGATTGTGTATAAACAATACTGCAAAGATTGAATAATTACCATGAGGGAAATATTTGAATGTAAGACAGGATTGCTTATGAAGGTATTTAAATTTAAGCTACACTTTTTCATGTTTTAGAGGAAGTTTTTAATTTCTAATTTGCATGATAGTCAAATTAATTCAACTTATCGAAAAATGGAAATCTAAGTCTTCAATCATATTTTGTCTAATATATATTATAAGTTCATCTGATCTACATTTTTGTTGTAAACATATATACCAATACTTTAAAAAAAAAAAAATTTGAGAGTGAACAAAAAAACTGATACATCTTTTTCCATCATAATTAAATTCAAAAACACATTACAAACCTGGTTTATAACACAACTTTTATATGTGGTAGCTACTTCAAAAATCTAAGTGTCAAATTTTGTAACAAGAATTTTTAACATGTATTTTCTTTGTTCTTTGTGGCTAAGATTCAAACTAATGCCTTCACTGACCCAGTTATGTATATGTGTATACACCTAAGTTTGTAATGTATATTTTTAGATTCCTGCTAGAAAATCAATTTTCCTGGTAGGAATTTATGAAAAAAATCCTACCAGGAATATTCAAATTAGCAGGAAAATTTGTAGGAATTTTACTTTCCTACCAAATTATTCCTGCTAATTTGAATATTCCTGGTAGGAATCACATTATTCCTACTAAAAAAATCCTGCTAATTTAAATTTTTCGGCTGTTTTTCCTGGCGGATTCCTGCTACAATCAAGCAGGAATATGCACACTTTCCTGGTAGGAATTCTTAACAAATTCCTACTAGATTCCTTGTACATTCCTGTAGGACCAGTTCGTACAGGTGGTTCATAAATCATGCCTCTTTTGGGGAGATATCAATTATTCATAGATATTTTGTTTTATTAACTTCTGGTTCCCAGATATGATCTCCATGTTTCATCTCATAGAGACACAACTTGGGAGTTTTATATAAGTACTGTTGGATAAAGGACAAATTGAATTCACAGGAAGACTCAAAGTAAAGGGAGGGTAGTATAGAATTTTAGTTTAAGTTGAAACTCTTAAAAGTTCAAGGCATATAAATTGCAAAAAAATAGCAGTGCATATGAACTTTACATTCCAGAATATGATTTTTTACGAAACTTCATAGTAAAAGCTGCACAGTTTTAGCCATAAAAGAACTTCCTATGGGAAATTGCATTGTCTATATTTACAAAAGTGCAACCTGTAAGGATACTATATACTAAATATCATTATTCTGTTTCTCATTATAAGTGAAAAATTCAAATGATAAATAAACTTGAGACAGACATAAGTCTCACCTTTATGTAATTTTGATAGCATAATGCAAATATTGAATCCAAATGGCAATATTTAAACTTGTAAACTATGCAAAATATCCAAAGTCAATGAACCATGATTTATGGTGCAGGACAAAATAACCCAAATGGAAATGAGAAATGCCAATGCTTATAAAACTGCATACCAAATACCATTGACTTATCTTAAGTGTTTCCTTTTAAAATAACATAAACACAAACTTTTATTGTAAACAATGTAAAAGTTTTAAAGTCAATGAACCATGTTGAGGGGTGGGACCATATAATCACCAGGGAAAAGAGACTTGCAAATGCTAATACAATTGCATACCAAATATTATTGATTTAACATTAGTGGCACCTCTAAAACTGGTCTAATTACAAACTTAACATGTAAACTATGCAAACAATCAAAGTCGATCGACCATTACTGAGGGGGAGGGGCCAAATAATCTACATGGAGATGGATGTGTCAATGCTAATACAACTGCATACCAAATATCATTGACCTACCACTAGTGGTTTCCCTAAAACCTGACCTAATCACAAACTAATACATTGTTGACGTCCCCTCTGCCAACACCGATGCCAAAGCCGTTGCCAACAGCATACTTAAGTCTCGCTTTTTGATTCTGTCAAGGCGAGACAAAAAACTATGTAGTTTTTTGAAGCAGTTGCTGAACCATGAAAATGATAATGGACATAGGGTAGAGGGAAATATACAAAGTACTAAGCATCCAGGTCCTCTACCTTCTGAAATATATAGCTTTATACCAAAAGTTTTGTCAGTCTGTTTGTTAGTATTGGAGAAATATGTGACGGAAGTTTTTAAAGATTCAACATATTGATAAATGCAAAATATAGACAAACAGGAAGTAGGCATCTAGTAGATACAAAAATGTTTACAGGTTACAACACATCATTGTAAAGCATCTGACCAAATATAATATCAAAGTGTTACAACTCATAATTGGCAAGCATCTGACCAAATATAATATCAAAGTGTTACAACTCATCATTGTAAAGCATCTGACCAAATATAATGTCAAAGTGTTACAACTCATCATTGTCAAGCATCTGACCAAATATAATGTCAATTTGGACAGCAGTTTCTGAGAAAAGTGTGGCTATCGCTATAACTTGGGATAAAATAATTGAATATAAATGCCCAACCCATGGTTAAATGTTAACAAATCTACGGCTGCCATGAATTATTTCTTAAATATGTTTACCTGTCACATGATTTAACAAAAATAGTCTTTGATTTTAGCTGATATTTATATTACAATCTTTTAAAAATGGATAAAATCTAGTGTATTTGAACAGATGCAAATCTTTTTGTGTAATGGTATAGCATTATTTAGTAATGTATCTGTAATAAATGATAGAACTGCAAGGACAAGATTTCATACTGCTGTTGTCATGTTACCAGCCGAGGAAACATTTAGCTTTAGACGACATGGACTCATGATTCTTTAACTTTTTGTTTTTATGACTTCAAAATATAATCCATTAAACTCTGATGTCAATATTAATTCAATATTTAGATTTCTTCATACTACTTATAAAAGTTAAAAATCATTTTGATTTGATTAGTTACAAAAACTGTTTAGTTTAAGAACTGATATTTAATGGTTTCCTACATTTAAATTAAATGGTCCACAAAATTTTAAAATTAAAAATTAGAATTAGTGCTCTACATAAGAACAGGATACAATTAATAACAATTTATACATATAAAAAGTGTTTTTTTTCAACACTTCCAAAATAGAGAAAAAAACTCACAGTAGTCCTACATCTTCGAAATTTAAATGTGAGAAAAAACTCACAAAATTCCTACATCTGCACAATTCAAATGTGAGAAAAAAATGCACAGAATTCCTACATCTTCAAAA